TCGAAGGCTTTGGTGCTGTGAAAGTTGAGGCGTAGTATTGATTCCCCTTACTGTCGGGTTTGAAGGTTGTTGTTGGCATGCTTTCTGGTCCGAGACCGTATTTGTTTAACTTGGTGAAGGATTTTTCGAGTCCTTGGCGGATAGCTCGCTCTTCAGGTGAGAGACGAACGAGGTCGATCTTGGTTAACTTGCGTGATGTTGTTGATCGCGAAGTTGAGTTGCTTGTGTTGCTTGATCCTGATTCATATCCAGAGTCTGAATCGCGTGTTGGTGATGATGGTCTAGACGAAGCGCCCCATCCCTGACTTGGGATTCTGTTTTCGTTCCAGAGTGATTGGCGGATCTTCTTGCTGTCGAATGTTCCATCCTTGGTCCAGCAGATTTGTTGATTTTTGTTTTCGTATGTGATGTCGGTGACGTTTTGCTCGATCAAGACATCCAGGGCCGCGAGAAACTCAGCGACGCTGGCTTGGACTTCTGATGTAATGTCTCCGTCTTGATCGATGAGGTCCTCATAGTGGCACGCACTGATAGCTTGTTGGATTGAGTAATCGTGTGTGTTGATGTTTTGTTCGAGTGTTTTGAGGAAGCGGAATGAAGTGTTGACGCTGCCCATGAATTTGCCGAATCGTTTAAAGATTGTTTGTTGGATGTCGGCTAAGAAAAAAAGTCAACATTTTGCTCCAGTGGGTGTAATGCGGCAAGTGAAAACAATCGCAAAGAACGAGGGATAGAAAAGGTTGTCGAAAAGAAAGCGTAGAAAAAGAACGACGAGCTGCCAGTTCTGACTTTCAGAAGCATGGGCGCGATGTTCGAACTGGATGCAACAAACACCAAGACAAGATAATGAACAGCGAGAGATGTTTCTAATGGGTGGGAGTGAGAAGACAAGGTCTGCAATCATCTCTCCCTCATTCCGATATGCAACAAAACTTCCAAAGAAAGTTTTGTTGCGAACCGTAATACTACCATGCGCCTTCACACAAGCGGGGTAGTAGTTCAACGCAGCCCCGGTCGGGTTGTTTTCTCCACACAGTCCCAGCCTAGGTCGTCTTCCGCGCAGCTCCAGTGGTCGTCTCGAACCTTCCTCTCGTATTGCGATTGTGGGTATGCCTGTGATGTGCAACAAAACCTTTGAGGAGGACAGAGAATGTGCGTCACGTGGTGCTACCAGATGGCCGCTTCCCCTTTTCAGCCCAGCTAAGCGAGACTTCCAAATTCGTCAAAGTCCAAACTCAAGATAAGGGCATCGGCGTCATCAAGATAGGGCATGCCACTCTGCTCCTGCCCTCGCACGGCCAGCAGAAATGTCACTGACTCCGCCCGCCGGACACACTGAAAATTGCACGAATTCGCTGTGCAGAAACTCCAAAACGCAGGTGGGAGGATGAAGTAAAATTTGAGGACGACGTAGACGAGAGGAAGCGAGACAGAAAAAAGTCAGAGAGTACTTACAGTTTTTTGTTGGTGACGGCGACGTTTCTCTTGGTGTTGTTGGTGTACGCCAGTTTGTTGACGTAATCGCTCTGGAGCTTGAAGTGCTTGAACGGCTTCTTGTTTGTTGTTCCTTCATGTTAGAAGACATTTTGGTGTTTGTAATCTGCGACAGTCAGCTACTTCAGCACGGAAGGTGTGATATCCACGTGGCAGCAGCTACGAGGTGATGCTGTGATCGATGGGAAGGAAGGAAGGATGGAAGTACTCACTGTTCTTTGGTGGCTCGACGCGCACTTGACTTTTGTTGGCGGAGCGTTTGAATTGATGTCGATTATCGTAATCGGTCTATCGTTGATCTTGTGGAGCTATCGAAACTCTTGTTCTTCTGTTCTCGTTGTGGCGACTATCGAATTCGCGTTGTCTGTCGAAGTCAGTTCTCGCGACACGAAGGTGCGATGCGACCACTGCGGGAGCGTTGGACCACGATGAGGGGAGAGAGGATGACGATACTTACTGTCTCAGTTGATATTGTTGTTGCTCGACTCTTTTGAGGAGATGTTGTTGTTGTTTGTTTGTTTAAGATTGTGTAATCGAGTACTGCCTCACTTGCAGTGTCTTACGAGTTACTACGGGCAATGAAGCAGTATGATCTTTGATGTGTATGAGGGAAGAAAAATTTTCAAAAAATGTGCGCCAATCGTAGATTATAAGGGCGAGCATTGGGCTAGATGGAACTCAGAAAAGCTGGTGCTGCTACTCAGATGAGTCAATGTCGTGTCTCAAACTTCACGATACCAGAATCTGGAGTTGTGGTTTTGGGGTTGAACACATCTGGGAGCCAATGGAAAAGGGGGCAGTTTTCTAGCGTTCGCGCTTCGGAACCTCCCACCATCAAACGCACCACGCAAGAAAGGGGGATAGTCACTATCGCAAGTTGGGCGATGGAAGCTTCGAGTCGCGAGAGCATGCTACAAGGGTCCCAAAACGCCCCCTGAAGAACAGTGACTCAATGGGAACCACGGTTCAATGCTCTGGCAGTAATGATGAGCTCGAAATGGCGAGATCGCAGGTGGGTTGAAACGGCAAGAGCGACGGCAAGGGCCGATCGCATGCTGAGAGCGTTGCCTGGGCTGCAGCGATATCCAGCGAGAGAGACCGATGGACGACGCGTTACGAGAGCAATGCATCGACAGAGATGAGTTCAGTCTTCCAGCGCGTGGGATATAGCAGAGAGCATGATATTTGTCAGTGGCTGGAGCCAGTGACGATTAGCTCCAAATAAACTTTACCAGAGACGAGCAACCACGGGGCACGACAGCAGCAAAACCACATCGGCACAGAGAACACTTTGGACACATGTCACATTTTCTTCAATGTTGGACCGTAATTTGCTATGGGAAGTGCGAGTATGATGCTTAGATGTTCCAGGGAGAGGATTTCTGGGCTTCGGAGTTGGTCAACGCGTCTCGACCTCAAGCGGAAGGGGCGAATAGGGGCGCACGTGACCATCTCTCAGCAACAATTTCAGGCACAGACAACGGCGACCAGAAATGACTTGAGGAAGGAGCAGGTGACACCAAGACGCTACCTTAAGCAGCCGCGGAGGCAGGAACACTACATTAACCACCCACTCTGTGTACTTGGAGCACTTCCCAGCAGCACGTCACCCCAAATAGAGTTTACGCCAGAGAATATCTCCTCCGTCAGTCCCAGACAATGAAGCTGACTCAGATTTAGCTGATTTTCTTCTAATCATCGAATACGATGTCCATTGGCAGAAGAGCCGGCTAGATTACCGTCGAGAAGCGACCAACTTGCCCAATCTTGGAAGGGACGAGGCGGGCAGCATGGGCAGAAATATTCGGCAAGAACAAATCGCAAAAACTGATCCTTCGCTGCTGCACACTGTGGATGTGGAGACTTCACTTCCAGGAGCATCAACTTCCTTCGGAGTTAATTGACTGCAAGATGAGGAAGGCATCATGGGTCAACAGCCGCGAGCCAAAAAATGTCGGCCTTGACATGAGAATGAAAAAGACGAAAGAACACTTAGAATACACGATCTTAGCATTAATTAGCAGCAGAATTCGAGGTCCATACCCCAAAAATGCGAAAGAAATACGACCCTAACAACTGAGAGCAGTTTGTTATCATCTCATTAGAGGTACTTACATTTGGACCACTTGGACCCCGTCACTCGACAATGGTTTTCTAGTAACATACACTCTGCTCATTTAAATTTATATAGCAGTCGACTCCAACTGCAGCGCTCATTTCATTACCTGGCCAGTGCTGATTGCTGCCACAGGAAGGAGGTACCGATTCTTATAGGTCTGCAATTTGAACCGGACTGTAACCCACCTCCTCAAACAAGCTAGGCTACCAAACTCCCCCTCACAATCCTATATACATTTAAATTAACATTTCCTGTCATAACAGTAGGACTGGTGGTGTTCGCAGGTGTACCGTACTGCTTGAGCTGGGCCCCCACTGTCTGATCAACCCCTTCAAAAATCCGTGGTCGCTCCCCGGTTTTCCAAGAACTGCCATGGTACCGCTGGCAGCAGCTGAGTTTTGTTTCCCATTTCTATTATTGTAGGAATATTTTGAGGCTTGCTGCCTCTCTTAGGGTGTCGCAAACTTTCTGGTCTTTTTTTGGGGGGGCAGGTGCGAGGGACAGTTTTCAAGCGAGGAAGGGGGCTGGAGCGAGAGCCAGACTTCAACAAAGCAATCCAAGGAGTTCGAATGTCAGAGATCGAGCTGATGTTTGACTGAATCGATGTGCGAAGACATTAGGATGGCGATTCTCTCTGTTCGACGCAGCATAGCGTTAGACATCACTCCCTCAATCGAAGATATACTTGTGTTGCACAGCGTGATCCGTCACTCTTAGGAGACCTCCCACACTGCTACTCCACTGTATCACTAAGTCTTATTATGGCGTTCTTATACTTGAGTTCGTGCATACATCCTTTAACTCCTTAGAGACGAACCAGTCGATTGTTTAGAAAGTCACGTGAAATCAGGTGCATCAACTTTCTCAATTAGGGTGCCTACTGTTCGCTTGAGAGCTTCGTATGCCCCGTGAGCAAATTCCGACCAAGTTGTGTCGAAGATGGGTGTATGTTCATATGCCTCAAGTGTACAATGTCTCTGTCTTGGCCACATTTTGCTCATTAAGGGCAGCAGAATTGCCGGAGAAGCACGAGAGGCATAGAGGGGTACTTCTCAAACAAATATGGGTACATAGGATGCTGAGCAACGATCAGATGTAGGGGTCCGAGAACGTTGAATGTGCTCGAGTTCGCTTGTACTCGGAGAATCAAGCGAAAAGACGGGCACTCCCTTTCTCCACTTCCCCATTGGGTCGATAGACAACATCTCGCTTGAGAGTGGCCCACTTCACACAAAGGTGAAAAATACTAAAATAAGTTGTCAAGGTTACAAAACAACAAGTACAAGAGAGTACCTGTAGTTAAGAAGCTCAATTTTTTTTGGCAAAAAACAATGAACTTCGTCGAGCTTCATCCACTACCACAAAAAACTAAAAAGCAAAAATAATTTGAACAGAGTGGGATTCGAACCCACGCCTCAAACGAGACCAGGAAACTGCTGTTAAGATAAGACCTTAACCTGGCGCCATAACCAACTCGGCCATCTGTCCATGCTGCGGATTTTATTATTTAAATCTATACATGCGTTTGGAAGGCGGGTACCGAGACTGCCCACTAGCGGGGGAACTACGGCTTTCTCCTTGAGTGACTCGCATTGAACTAACTTCTTTGAAATTAAGACCCAAGATACTATAGAATAATCCTTATACATCTGGTTTTGGTCTCTCTTTCAAAACTTTTGTAACTTCCATATCAGTTTGAAAAAGATTGACAAATTCCCCCTCCCTGTCATTCTTCGCCAAGAGAGTGAATATTCACAATAGTATGCCTTTTTATAAGAACTTTTCCGCTCTACACTCGGGAAATCTTGTCACATATGTTCCTTCTTTCTCTTCTAGATAGTTTCATCCTTTTGGGTATGGCCAAAGGAAAGGTGACAAGGCGTGGTCTAGCTTCTAGACTGAAGCCGACGCCGACTTCGTACTCAGAGATGCCTCTTGAGTCTTGATCTTTTCTTGCCTAGTAGGTCCCATCTTCCATATATATCATTGGTAGTGGGACACTCTTCACGTTGCAGGATACTTCTGAATTTCAAGAATGGGATTGATCTGAGGCTCAGACTCCAGAGATCTTGAGATCTTAGTGGTATCACATGACCTAGGAGATTTTCATTTCACCAGAGGACGATGAAATGAAGCGGGATATGAAGTAACACAAAGTACAGCACCTCCATTATCTCCTACGAAAGTATCTGTTGCACATCGCAACCTAAGCGAGTACATAGCTCCCGTTGAGGAGGAAGGAAGCGAGAGCAAGCGAGGATATAATCCACAATCAATACCTCGCTACACAAACCCAACTTTGGAAACATCCAGATGAGCTACGACTTACTCTCTGTTGCACATCGTGCCTGGAATATATATAAGGGAGTTGATGTCCCTTGTCCCTCCAACCACGGAGCCGCCGAGGGACCAGAACCAGCTAGTCCCCTCTGGCAAAGAAAAACACTTGATCGCTGTTACTCCATGTGAAGCACTATGCTGCATGTCACACTCCTAACGGAGCGTGATACGGTTGAGTTTATATGTTCTGGTAACATATCAAACGGGCATACGTAGAGGAATCTTAGAAGAGGCTCATCATCTGGCATGTGCGGGAAAAGCATAGGCAATGCAGTAGACGAAAAGATCTCTTTAGGACGAGGGGTTGAAGGATCGTATTTTCAGGCATAAAGCTCAACAAACAGAACGGCGATGCAACGTTCCAAGCAAGAAGATGACAGGATCTATCTGTAGAAACGGTCAATGGTAGTAGCATAGAGAGACATTCAAGTGATGCCGCACGTGATTAGGTCCCTTACCCTAGGATACTGTGTGAATATGAGCAGCAAGACCATGAAGGAAAGTAATGTGCAGCACAACGATGGTAGACTTTGGAAAATCCCAGCGTCATGTTGGATTCTGAACTTTCAGCGAAGAAGTTCAACAAGCAACGAATCCAATTCTAGAGTTGACTTGACGCTTCCGCCTTCTAAGTTCCTTCCTAACAAATCCTTGGGACCCTTTCATCTCCCACCAAATGATTCGCCGCTCTATTTCACTGGATGAGCGCTCGAGGATATATTGAAGTATGCAAACTTCAATGATGAAGGTAAGCTGGAAGCTATGTAGACTCCACGGCCAAGAAGGTCGTTAGGGAACTGAAGTAATTACAAATATGTAAGTGCTTCAAGCTGAGGCTCAGAGTGGTACCAAGAAGCAGAAGTAAATGCAAAAGTGCCGCCCGCTAGTTAAAACAAGGTAATGTTAAATATCCAGTACACCGCCCAAATTCCTTCCTCCCGCTATGCCATCCCATCAAATTTCCAAACCTCGTAATAATCATTGCAACGTATTCCAGTATATCTAAGCACAGATTGATCTCTCACTCAACATCTCCTCCGACCCATTTAAAGCTAGCCTGTATCACCATGTTTCTCGGAGACTGCTGCGAAGTCTGCCGAAGACTTTCGCAGAATGTCTGGTCCCTCATCTAAGCGTCGACCTGCGCCTTTTGTAGATCCATACTTAAGATGTAGCTCCTCCTCACACGCCAATTGGTTTTGACTTTCACGTCCACATAGCCGTCAATCGACTCTCTATATTTGAACTTGGGCTCGTCCGTCAGTTTGAGGGAATTTAATGAGTTTCTCAGCGTTTCTTCTATCACAGATTCGAAGAGGCTTACGTAGCCCGAGTCGCGAACGCTTGAATGAACTGAAGTGTTCGAGTGTTTGACAGGTTGATTGCTTAGAGGTTTCCGTGTTGTAACTAGTCGCGTGTCAAAGAAGGTGGAACTTGAGGCCGGTAGACTGTTTGCCGTTTCGCGTTGGTCGTGATAGATGTCAATTGAATCGCGAGTCTCACTCAATCTTAATGAACGGCTGCGTTGAGTCTCGCTTCCAGGCTGACGCCTCACTCGTTTTCGTGGAAGATCTGTAGAGAATCCATCTGGGCTGATTGCGACTATACTACTATCTTGCAGCAGTATTGGATGCCAGGAGGGTTGGTTTCCCCTTCTGCGGAGAACAGGAGAGTTCTGTGGTGGATTTGGCGGGACCACGTGTCGAGGTGCTATAGTAGAGCGGAAAACAGTACTATTGCGGGAGTGCCCTGCCATAGGATAGGTATGTTCAACTTGTTGCACACACGTGCCCTCAACATGCTGCTGGTTAGTAAAGGTAGATACTCCACGATGCGGTGGGCTCATGACCAAAGACTTTGAAGCCAAGTGGGATGGTCGCTGGTTGTTGAGAACTTGAGGGGCATGAGGTAGATGGGAATGAGATGCCAGAGCAGGCCCATGCACTCCTGCGTTCGTTCCCTCTGTGTTATCTTGGCCCCCCAACGCCAGGTGGACACTTTCGCCAACTGCATCCATGCCTGCATCAAACTCCATGTTCAACAAACTTTCATAGTAACCTGGGGAAGACCATTCCTGTCTACCAGCAGGACTTCTAGTGCTGTCACATATTATACCGCTCCCATCTACTTGATATCTTTCGTGATCGAAAAGCACACCAACTTGTTGGAGAGGAGTAAATCTAGCCGGACAACCTGCTTCGACAATTTGTTGTGGCTGAGGACCAGATCCTAGATGGCCTTGCTGGTGAAGTGAATCCCTGTCTCCAACTGCCGATGGCGGAATGTTGTGATATGAAATATCTTGCTGGTTGAGATGGTGATAAGGTGGGAGGGATTGTCGAGATAAAGGATGAACCCCAGGGCTGTTGCTTAGATATTGCAGAGCTTGTTGTCGAGGCGGGCTTTGGGAAGTTGTCTGATACCCGTGGAAGCCACGCTCGACAAAGCCGTGCCTGGCTGCATTCTGAAATCGTGATTGTGGAGGTCCGTTATCTTGTTGCGAAAAGCCGTTGGGCCACTGGTGCTGAATCTCACCTAATGCCTGCGGGGTCTTATAGTATTGTTCGTTCTGAGGATATGTCTGCGGATATTGTATTCGTGTTTGCGCGAGGTGGTTGGATGGTGGTGGGTATTGTGCGCCACTCTGCCTCCGTCCACTGCCTGTCGACTTGGTATCGTCTCCCTCATCGGGCCAATCATTGAAGTTCCTCTTGTACCATCCTTTCACGGTGTTGTATTTGTTCCTATGAAAACCGGGTTAAACCGTATCCTACTCTGTATGCGCACAATGTGCATGTACTAACTTGTTTCTAAAACCTTCCAATGCCAGTCTGTGGCAGGTTTCTTGGGGTGTCGATCCAGATGCCCGCAATTCTGTGGCTCGGGGTAGTAACTGGACCCATATGTCCTCAAACTTGCTCATGGGTAGATTGTTGAAGATGAAGGACGAGCAGTAAAAATGATAAGGCGGTCAACAACGGCAGCGTGCTTCGTGATCAATTCGTAAAAGAATGTGTGCCACAGGAGGCTACAAAAACTATTGCCAGCCCAACTGAGAGTGCGTATTGCATGCTGTATGGTCGTCCAGAAGTCCCGTCTCCAGGAGAGTGGGTAGCCGATCTGAGCGCAGATACTCGATAATGCGGAGGATTTGCGATTGGCAACAAGCAATGAGGCTGTGGCACAAAAGAATGTTGTGTCGATTGTGCTGGCAGGCTGGCAGCTTGCTAGGAGTGAGTACCGCAGAACGAATGGACGGTAGTGCAGTGATGTTAGGCAAGAGGCAGAGCGAGAAGAATGGGAAGACGAACAGAGGACAGCGGGAAACCTGCCAAATTTGGTGGCCATGATGCATAGGGCAAGGCTAACTTCACTCAGTGTGAAGTCTGAAATCTGAAGGAGTTTCAAGCAACTTCAGTCGTATTACTAAGTCCAGGGAGCTGGCACCCCTGAAAATTATAATATATAATTATCTCCACTAGTCAGTAATAGTCCTCAGTGGAGGTGCACTAGTCAAACTTCTCTCTAGCGTAATAACCTTAAGAAGCTGGGGCAGCAAAACTATGAATGTATTCATTATTACTCATCTTCCTACTGATACGAGTACTAACAAGCGCCAACGAAATATTCTTATAAAATCGGGCACTATTCCTTTCAGAATGCTTGGCATTGGAATCCGGAGAGGCGGTGAGCTGCTGGCTGCGATCATTGCGCCGGGATGATGAAGCGAGCTTCTGCGTGCGCCCTCGAAGATAGATATTGGTAACACATCTGATGGAGCAAGTATTAAAGAGTCGTAGACACTAGCAAGCGTGGGATATATTATATCTTTTGTTCGTTTCGAGACGAAGGAGTTTGAGCCGTTGCCCCCGAGAACTTTGTCAACGCGGCTCAAATTCGAGGTTTTGTTTACTGTAATATATTCGCCCCCAGGGTTTTTTTTGAAGGAATTAATGTAAACCTTCCAGAACAAGTGTTCTCTGGAGGTGAGTGAAGTTAATGTGAAATGACTGAAGTTCATGCAAATAACATGCTAGCCCCCTTCCGAACGACCGCTCACGGCCACAACGTTTGCGCGAGGTCAGAGCCGTCAGGAAACAGGATTCCCGCGCCAGGAAACAGGATTCCCGCCAGGAAACAGAATTCCC